GCTGCTTTCACCTAGCCTTCTGCTGCTTTCACCTAGCCTTCTGCTGCTTTCACCTAGCCTTCTGCTGCTTTCACCTTGCCTTCTGCTGCTTTCACCTTGCCTTCTGCTGCTTTCACCTTGCCTTCTGCTGCTTTCACCTATTCTTCAGCTGCTTTCACCTTGCCTTCTGCTGCTTTCACATAGCCTTCTGCTGCTTTTACATAGCCTTCTGCTGCTTTTGCATAGCCTTCAGCTGCTTTCGCATAGCCTTCAGCTGCTTTCGCATAGCCTTCAGCTGCTTTCACATAGCCTTATGCTGCTTTCATCTAGCATTCAGATGTATTCACCTATTCTTTAGCTGCTTTCACCCATCCATTCACTAATTTAAGCTATCCATTTTTTACTTTTAATTTTTAGTCGACGTTCTGCTTCCGTTTTTAGCTTTAAGAATTCAGTTTCATCTTCAGCAGACTTCAGCAGTCGTTCAGCTGTTAGCTCACGCTCGTTTTTACTTTAAAGAGTCTTTAAAAAATGATCCCTTCCTTTTGGTCATCATCCGTTTACTTGATGCTAAAGGTTTACCTTCTTGTCAGAGGACAGAACAAAATTTAAATCACGAAGTTAAAGTTTTAGCTCGTGGTCCTCGTTAGTAAAGGACACCTTTAGCTGATGCAGTTTTCACATTTAAAAGTGACAGCTGATGGAAGCAGTTCATGTTGGAAAGGACTCCGTGCGAACTAAAGAACATGTTTGTTATTTACTGTCTTTAGTCCCACTGGAACAATGATGTCATAGATCCCCGGTCCCTCCACACCAGAGTCAAACCACTGACTTACCGCCTCGGCGTGTCATCCTGATCTTCAGCTCGTGCAGTTTCAAGCTTCCAACTCCTCACTCTTCATTTCTGAATCGATCAAACTCCAAAAGACCAACTACACATTCAAAGTCTAGTCTAGATTTGTCGTGTCCTGGATGACTCAGATTCTACATCGACACCAACTCGAGTCGTTGAGGTCTACAAAAACCAGCCGAAGACCCATTTATTTGAAAGGATCGTTCAGCTGCTGATGTGTGGTCGGCCCTTTAGCGCCTTCTAGTGGAACTCTTATTATTGCATCATTAAAGATGTGGAGTCATTGATCAGTGAACAGAAACTGAACTTGGTCAGGAACTGTTGCACAATGGAAGAAAAGCAAATGGTTAGCAGTTTCTGACTGAAACAGCCGAAACTGCAAAAAAAGCATCTATGATCCGAGAGATAAAGATCAGCTGAGCCTTACTGAGGTCATTTCTGGTGCCCAGGATGATGATGACGGCGTCTTGTCCCTCCAGAGTTTTCTTCACGTCGTCTTTATTCAGGACGTCTCCCACCACCACTCGGGCCGCCTTATGGTCGGCCGGCAGCTTGGCAGGATCGCGCAGCAGCACCGTCACGTTATATCCTGAACAACAGTTAGCCTTTAGTTAGGAAAACAGACTAAAAGCTAAAGTAGCACAGATGTAGCTCATATATAGCACACTGTCCACAAAGACAGCTAAAACCCAAAAGTAGCAAAATACCAGCCAAAACTGACTGCATGTAGCAGAATGGTAGCTAAAAGTGTGTGGCAAACGGCTAGCTAAAATTAAAAAGGTGAAATAGCTAAAAAGGGAAGCTAAAAGACAAAACGTACCAAAAAGCTAAGGCTAATGGAACAAAACACCAGCTAAAAGTATCAAAAGGCTGGCGAAAATTTTAAAGTAGCAGAATGGTAGCTAGAAGCTACAAGTAGCAAAAGGCTAGCTAAAAAAAGCTAGAGTAGCAAATAGCTAAAAGTACGAAAAATTTAGTATAAAAGTAACAAGACCAGCTAAAAGTAGCAGAATGGTAACTAAATATAAAAAGAAGAAGAAGGCAAAAAAAAAAAAAAGGCAAAAGCCTAAAAACCAAAATACACAGCATGGTAGCTAAAAACAAAGTAGCTAAAGAATAGCTAAAAGTAACACAATAGTAGCTAAAAGCTATAAGTTGCATAAGAAGACAAATACAGAGAAAGTTTACAGAAGATTGTTTCAAAGATAAATTGTTTTTAAGAAGATTCATAAATAGCATAAAATAAATAATAGCATAAAAATGCAGAAGTAGTAGATTGCAAAAAACAAACGATAGCACGTCTTCTGATTTCTTTACGTTTTGTTGTAAGTTGTTGTAAGTTATGAATTGGACATTTGTCCTGGTGACCCTCAAACTGTCTGTTTTTAATACCTGCTGCTGATTTTAGTAAAGTTTTGAGAGTTTTCGTGAATCTGTCCCACAGATCCACCCTGACTGTGCAGCTCCGATAGACAACGGCCTTCTCCTATCAGCTCCAGATGGACCGCTGTGACTCAGCAAAACGCTGACCTGTAACGTCTAACATGACTCGTCAGCTTTTTGATGCCAGACATTGAGAAAACTGGAAGAACAATGTAGAAAAATCACATTAAGAACCGATTTCACCTTCATGTGCACTTCCTGCACGGTTTTAGGCCAAATTCTGCTGTAAAAATGTTGATAAATAGTTGAAATGAAATTCAGATTCAGCTCATTTATTGACAGCATTTTAAATATTCAAATGTAAAATTTTGAAAGCAAGAAATAAACTCTTCTTTTGCTTTTTTGCTCAGATAAGTGAAATTAATCCAATAGTAGAAAAGCCTAAACCGAGGGGGGAAAAACAGCATAAACAATGAGCTAAAATGCAGTAAAAATAAATAAATAAATAAATAAATAAATAAATCATACAATGGATGAACTAAAACAGCAGTTTTCAAAGTTTTTAGCTTCTGACCCCCAAAACAATAAACACCAGTTGATCTGGCATTGTTAGAAATAAATACACAAATAAATAAATAAGGGCATTTTTTCCTATTTATGACTCATTTTATATTTTATAACAATTATAGTGAAAATACGATTGTAGGAATTCTTTTTTTTTTACGTTTTATTTATTGGATTTGTAAAAATAAATTCATATAAACCACAATTTGATGTTTGTGTCCCACCCGCACCTTACTTTGGGAAACTTTGAACTAAAATAAAGTGAGTTTAGTTGATGAAAGTCAAACGTAATAAAACATTTTGATACAAAATGCAGATCAAATATTAAATACTTCTTCTGGAGACACTTTTGAATCACGTGACACTTTGAACATTTTGCTCCTTGTTATAACGGAGCCCTCCTGCTGTCCTGGGGTCAAATGACTCTTTCTGAGGGCAGCAGGAGGTTACAGCTCATGAATATCCTCCTTCTCTACTGTGATTTAACACCATAATGAAAACAGCTGTCCCAGTGCACGGTCTGACCAGAGAACTTTGTTCTTCTGACCCATGTTCAGGTGAGGTTACCTGCAGCCGCCGCCTGCGGCAGCGTCGCGAGCCCAGTCATCCCAGTAGCTCCAAAGATGGCAACGTTCTTTATGGACTCAGACATGCTTTGGTTTAGTGTCCCTCAGCTCCAGGTTGTCCCCGCAGACTGACAGAGGAGGGAGACGTCTCGTCTCAAAATGTGAGGACAGGAAGAAAGAACTTCCGCAGCGCAGACTCCTCCTACAGAGCGGGCTTAAAGGAACCCCACGGTTGTGAATTTATTTCAAAATGTGACAAGATTCAGCCCAGACCCGACCAACAGCAGCATGTTCATCTTTTGTTTTTTTTAAATGATGTAAAGAGATATCTCTGCCATTCTGAAGAGCTGCTCTGTCATAAACAGTCACTATCTTACCTGTTATAGATGGCTTTTAAGTGACCGTGCAGGGGTGTCAAACACACTTACAGAAGGGGGCCAAAATTAAAACCTTGATCAAACTAAGGGCCAATTTCAGAATCTACATACCCAGCATCTTTTTTGGTCACAGGTTCCTCAACAAGAGTTTGATTGGTCTCATTTGATGTTCTCTGCTGTGCTTTCGACATCACAATCAAAGACTACTAAAAAAAATAATTCAAAAGATAAAAGTGTTTTACGTTTCACATATCATCTTGGGGCCAGATAAGACGTGAACGAGGGCCACGTTTGGCCCCTGGGCCTTGAGTTTGACACGTGGTTTAGAGAAGGAGTAAATCATTCTTACACGGTAGCGCAGTGGTTAGAGCTGTCACCTCTCAGCAACAAGGTCACAGGATTGCCTCCTCCTGGGTGCCATTTGCATGTTCTTTCTGTGCTGCGTGCAAAAACATGCATGTTAGGTTCATTGGTGACCCTAGGTGTAAGAGTGACAATGGTTGTTTCTGTCTTTTTGGACCTGTCCGAGGTGCACCCCACCATATTCATTTCAATTCACTTTATTTATAAAGCGCCAAGTCACAACAGAAGTCGTCTCAGGGCACTGAACAGAAACATTCATATAAAAATAATAATTTAACATTATTTATCTGAGGAGCAGCTTTGAGTTTAACTCCCATCACAGAACCCTCATCTTCAGCAAGCACGAAGGCGACGGTGGAAAGAAATCTCCCTCGTGAGGAAGAACCCTTTAGCAGAACCAGCAGGACAAGCGTTCATCTGCTTCAGCCACCAGCTTCCTGCGAAAGGAGAAGCAAGAAACGATAATGGATGGATGGATAATTCTGACACAACAGCCATCTTAAGACAACCCCAATATCAAAGGTATCACAAAGGTTTTACAAATGCTATTTCATAGATTGACATGTGGCCGGTCATTTTTAAATACACAATTATTTACAATAAAGTTTATGGTTTTTTGTGAGTACAACTAGCAGTAGCAGCTAGCTGTAGCACGTTGCTACATGCGGGAGTCCCTTTCAACTGGACAATTTTAAAGTTTCTGTTGAAATATCCAGGTAGTGTGAAACGGACAGTGGTGTCAAAGGTTAAATAAAATTATTTGCATGAACTACTACAAGCTAGATGGGACTAGTGAGCAGACTCTGGTTACAAAATACAACATGGCAGCCTCCTGCTGGCTTTAATTCCCAACAATAACAAAAAGTAATAACACTTGGTCTGATATTTTATGCAGTTTTGGTTCTGTATGACTCTTAAGCTTCTGTCATTTCAGATTTTATTACCAATATCTGTAAAATTGACTGAGCTGTAGCCATTTTTATGTTGGATGGTATCAAACAGTTGTGCTGGCCATCTTGAATTGGGTTGACTTAAAAAATTAATCAGATGTAGATGTGCATCCAATGGTTACTCTCTGAATGTTTCAATAAAATCCATCCAGCGGTCCATTAGATATTTTGCTAACAGACATACAGAGTTGACTCCAAATAGATAATGGGAAAGTTTTAAATGAAGATCTTGTACAAAGTATTAGCATGTCTGGGATCAGTCTCAGCTACTACCACACCAAATTTAAGTCAATATCTGTAACTTTAAGTGGATCTGTTTTTGTTTGTTCTAAGAAGCCATGTTGAATCGACATGACTCCAAAATGTAATCATTCATTCATTCAACCTTAATTTAATTTATTGTAATCAGTTGTAAATGTTCAGTTAGTGGTTATTCGCCTTATAATCTAGCTGTTTTTTGCTACTTTTTTTGCCATCTTATTGTAATTTGTAAAAAAAATAAATCTTTATGCCTCTTTTATGATTTTCCATTGTTGTCATCATTCTTTGTTGAAATCAGGTCTCTCTTGTAAATGAGTCCTCGAGGCTCAATGGGTTAACCTGTCTAAATAAAGGTTGAATGAAAAAATTATATGTTACAATGGTCTGCCTAAATTGGCTGCTTTAAAATCAATCTGGCCCCATTCTGTAGTACCAACGTTTGTCCACCAGGGGGCGGTGTTTACAGTTTGAACCGCTTCTACAGTCCGCCATTAAAGTCAAAGAAGAAAACTAGCTTGTGGCTAACAGTTTTCAGCTAACTTTAAACAGCGCTAGCTACAAATTGGAAATCATCCAAATTCAATATGTTTATTTTTAATATATATATATATTATATTTATAAGGATTAATCTAATGGTAAGCTTTGTGTGTGTGTGAGTAAACCACGGCCTCTAGCGGCTGCCTGAATAATTTTCTCATTGGCAGTTTTCTCTCTCTGCTCGCCGCACCGATGCTGATATTTCTTTCCAGCATCACCAGCGGAGAGGAGGAGGAGGAGGAAGAGGAAGAGGGAGAGGTTGTGTCAGGTGGATACGGGACCTCTGTATGGGTATCATCATCGCCCTCCACCGGCTCGCAGCCTCACTCTGCACCGACTACAACCCCTCCCGCCCGGCGGCCCCCAGGAACATCCAGCGTGCAGCCCGCAGCCTGCTGTGGTTATCACCCAGATAAACGTGTAACAACGCGGACCTGAAGGAGGGAAGAGCCCGCTGCTGGAGCAGAAGCGGAGCGCCTGGCTCCTCCATTGATCTGCTCCTCCATCGATCCAACCCGGCTGCGAGGAGGAGGACAAACCCGAGAGGTGTCGGTTTGCACCCAAAAGGTACGGCTGATGGTGATTCATTTCGTGTGGTTTGGTTTTGTCGTCCCCCTTGGCTCAGACCAAGGGGTGGAGGTGCACGTTTCCTCCGTCCTTTCGTGCAGGAAGCCGGCCTGCATTTGGGTGCAGGTTACCGCAGTGATCGGGTGAGAGGACGCCGTTTCATCACGTCTTCTCAAACATGTGTAACATGATGCACATCTGGAAACAACCAGGTGGTGCCTGCCGGGCTCGGCTGTCTTTCTGCTAAATACAATACATAGAAGAAATGTAGCTTCTGGAAGCAGGTAGGGCCTGCTGCTGCAGGGACTTTACCAAGTTGCTGCAGCTTTTAGCAGCTCAGTTTATGGCCTTTAAAACTTTTAACACAATGTGTTTGATTTTATAAAATGCACCTCATGCAAACAGCAGCTAACAAGTTCTCAGACAATATTCAGTGTAAGGAGACTTTTTTTGTCCTTCAGCATTACAATCACATCATTAGTGTTAAAGGTATACTCATGTATGAAATTAGACAATAAAAGCAGGTTATCCTGAGCTGTATCAAATTTAAAGATGAGGTCCAGTTCATCAAAACTAGACTGAATGTATTTCTTTAAAATGAAATATTGATCTGATTTATGCCATTTTATGGGATTGTTGGTTAACTGCTTTTTATTGGAAATTAAACCATCAGCAAAAAAAAAAAAAACAGCCACTAGGCACCAGCCAGGGTACCGGCGGAAATTGTGCTACTGTTAGTCGAAGACTATGAGGAGGAACACGTGTCAGGAGACAGAGGGAGAAGAAGAAAGTCGAGGGTGGCAACTCTAAATGTGGGGACAATGACAGGCAAATGTAGAGAGCTTGATGACATGATGCTGAGAAGGAAGGTAGATGTTTTATGTGTCCAAGAGACCAAGTGGAAGGACAGCAAGACTCACAGCATTGGAGCAGGGTTCAAACTGTTTTACCGTGGTGTGGATAGAAAGAGAAATGGAGTAGGGGTGGTCCTGAAGGAGGAGTTGGCAAAGAATGTAGTAGAGGTGAAAAGAGTGTCAGATAGGGGGATGTGTCTGAAGGTAGGCGTAGAAGGTCTTATGCTAAACGTTGTCAGTTGTTATGTTATTTTACGGATAGATGTGACGTAGAGGAGAAAGATAAATTTTAGAAGGGTATGGATAAAGTGATAAAGAACACTGTATTCCTAGGGAAGAGAGGGTAGAGCAGACCTGAATGGACATGTTGGTGAAGGAAACAGAGAGGATGAGGAAGTGATGGGTAGGTTTGGTGTCAAAGAAAGGAACCAGGAAGGACAAATGGTGGTGGATTTTACCAAGAGAATGAAAATGGCTATAGTCAATACCTATTTCCAAAAGAGGGAGGAACGTAGAGTGACCTATAAGAGTGGAGGAAGGAGTACGCAGGTCGACTACATTATGGGTAGAAGAGGAAACTGAGGGAGATTGAGGACTGTAAGGGTGTGGCAGGGGAGAGCGTGGCCGGACATCATCAGATGGTTGTGTGTAGAATGACTGTTGTTGTGAAGAAGAGAAAAAGAGTAAAATCAGAGAAGAAGACCAAATGGTGGAAGATGATGAAGGAAGAATGTTGTAAGGAGTTGATAGAGGAGCTGTTAAAGGCTCTGGGTGGTAAGAAAGAGCTTCCAAATGACTAGGCTACAACAGCAACAGTAATTAGAGAGACAGGTAGGAAGGTGCTTGGTGTGTCATCTGTACAGAGAATGGATGATAAGGAAACCTGGTGGTGGAATAGTGAAGTGCAGGACGCCGTTCAAAGAAAGAGGTTAGTCAAGAAGAAATATGACGGTGAGAGGACTGAAGAGAGGAGACAGGAATATAAGGAGATGGGACATAGAGCAAAGAGGGAAGTAGCTAAGACAAAGCAGAGGGCGTACGATGAGTTGTATGGGAGACTGGACACTAAAGAGGGCGAGAAGGACTTGTACCGATTGGCGAGACAGAGGGATCAGGCTGGAAAGGATGTGCAGCAGGTTAGGCTTGATAAGAATCATAATGTTCTAACAAGTGAGGAGAGTGTGATGGGAAGATGGAAGGAGTACTTTGAGGAGCTAATGAATGAAGAGAATGAAAGAGAAAGAAAAGTAGAGGTCATAGAA